GACAGGAAGTTTACAAGATGTTTCAGTTATTAGATGAATCAGGGGATGGTGTAAAGCCAGTGATAGTGGCACCCAAAACTGTAGTGATGTTGAAATTGACCATATAAGGGAAATCTCAGACCATGAGTTGTCAGATGACAATATTCTTGATCATTTTTCTCAAACTCAATAATTGATAAGTGAACAAATATTTCTGAGCACAAAAAGTAAATGTGGTTTCTCATAGAAGTAGTCATTCAACAGAAAGGATTTTATCATGCAATATTTTGCAAAAAGAACTTGGAGCATCTTGTTTTGCTTTAGAGACGTGTGACAAAATTCTTTTTCTTCTATATTTGATGCAAAAATTTACTTGAGATAGTTCATTAGTGGACTGATGCTGAAGGTGGGTGTGTGTACCTCATCTACAAATGAAAATGGTAATTTTGAAGCAGAGAGAATGTCTGTCTCTTCCAGAAATTACGAGTTGTCAAGGGTTTCAAAAGTAAAGCGTCCTATGATACAAGTGCAAGAAGTGGTAGAAGTAAAGAAAAGCTAAAACCTATTAGAAATGTATTTGAGGCCAGGCGCAATGGCTCATGCCTGTAATCCCAGCACTTTGGGAGGCCGAGGCAGGCAGATCACCTGAGGCTGGGAGTTCAAGACCAACCTGGCCAACATGGGTGAAACCCCCTAAAAATACAAAAAATTACAAGCGTGTGGTGGCACACGCTTGTAATCCCAGCTACTTGGGAGGCTGAGGTAGGAGATTCGCTTGAAGCTAGGAGGCCAGATGTTGCATTGAGCCAAGATCATGCCACCACACTCCAGCCTGGGTGACTGTCTCATTCATAGATAGAGAGAGAGAAAGAGAGAGAGAGAGACAGAGAGAGAGAGAGAGAGAGATAGCATTTAAAACCAAGAATCAGTACTTAAAAGATGAACGTTTCTAGGATTAGGCCTGACAGTTGATGAGGAGTTAGTTACATTTGAAAAAAAAAATAAAACCTGGCCGGGCACGGTGGCTCACACCTGCAATCCCAGCACTTTGGGAGGCTGAGGTGGGCAGATCACAAGATCAGGAGATTGAGACCATCCTGGCTAACACAGTGAAACCCTGTCTCTACTAAAAATACAAAAAAAGAAAAAAAAACAAAAACAAAAAACTAGCCGGGCGTGGTGGTGGTTGCCTGTAGTCCCAGCTACTTGGGAGGCTGAGGCAGGAGAATGGCATGAACCCAGGAGGCGGAGCTTGCAGTGAGCTGAGATCATGCCACTGCACTCCAGCCTGACAGAGTGAGATGCTATCTCAAAAAAACAAAAACAAACAAAAAAACACCTTTTGGCCATTCGAGGTCTAGATAACTTCAAAACCAAGTTATTATGGAATAAGAAATTGGGTTTATTCTCTTTTAAAGTCTTAATAAAATGCTTAATGAAGTTGTTTCATTGTTCTCTTATTAAAAGGGTCCATTGTGATGTTTGTTTCCCCTGGTATACTGACCATTTAAACATGGACAGAAGTTATTTCTTCTCTGTCTATAATAACTCCTCCTTCTGTTTTCTCTAACACAACATACAGTTCTTTTGTTTTTAATTTTTAGTGCATGAGGGCAGGGCCTGTGTTTGTCTTGTTGATGGTTAATCTCCAGCACCTTACCTAGTGCCTGACACATGTAAATGTGCAATAAAATCTGTCGGACAAGTAGTTTCTTTCCTTTTTTTTGTTCCAGAAGACAGGGTCTCACTCTGTCACCCAGGCTGGAATGCGGTGGTGTGTGTGATTGTGGCTCACTGCAACCTCCACCTCCTGGGTTCAAGGGATTTTTCCACTTCAGCCTCCTACAGGCACGTACCACTATGCTTGGCCAATTTCTGTATTTTTTTGCAGAGGTGGAGTTTCACTATGTTGCCCAGGCTGGCCTCGAACTCTTGGACTCAAATGATCTGCCTGCCTTGGCCTCCCAAAGTGCTGGGATTACAGGCGTGAGCCACCACGCCTGGCCGTAAACAGGTGGTTTTTTATAAAATCTTTCCTTGGTTAGATTTTTGGGCTTTTGTTAGCCAGAGTATCAGCAGATTCACAGTAGGTTTGGATTTAGTCCAGCCCTTTTTATTCAATGAGATTTACCACGTTGCTTCAATTTGCCATATATTTTGGTGTTACTAAGCAGATTACTTCTTTCTGAAATTTGAGTTATGCTATCTCTTTTTAGTAAAGAATCAGTCTTTGTTTTTAATATTCGTTGTCTTTCTTTCCTTTCTTTCATCTTACCTGTCCAACATGACAAAGCTCAATTATGATGAAGTTGATCAAGCCTAAAATATTATTCCTATAATATTTAGCACATGGGATTTTTGTCAGTGGGGGTGGAAGGCAGACCATAGTTGAAAACTACATATATGAAGCCAACATACGTTGACCTCCTGCTCACACAGGTGGTCAGCTAGCCCCAAAAATATTTTGTCTTAATAAATAATGAAATGCTCCCCCTTTTCTTACATTATAGTAAATGAATAGACTGCCAAATTTTATACAGTCTATTTGGGCTGTCTATGAAAGATGCATAGGGATCCCCAAATTGGTGAATATCATAGCTGACAAATACAGTCTAATCATGGCATATGTTAATAAGTAGATGATGGACTGTAGTTGGCCAGTGGCTTAGTCAGTAGTCATTTATTAACTAGGCAACCATTTTGTGCACATCAACTCCTCATCATGGATCCTTTGGCAATTACTAAAAGTGTACTGTCAAAACCATGAATGATAAATCTGTGAACATAAAAAGGTATATTTTATAAATGATACTCTGTCCTTTATTTCCTGAGTTAACTATTTCCCACCTCTAAAATTTCCTCCTATCCTGATTTTTCTCATCAAATAGAAAAGGGATCATAAACCTTAAGATACCTGGAGATAGAAGGGCTTTCTTTTTAATAGGACGTGGAGTTGAGTGACTTATGACATTGTAAAAAGATCATCATAAACTGTGTTCCTCCTACCTTCAGTGAAAGCTCTTTAGCCCTACAGAGCAGCAGAGAACTTTAGTTGAATAATTAAACTATATTTGAATAATTAAACTTTATTTGAAAAATTAAACTACATTTATGTTTTATGCTGCTTTTCTCTCAAAATTCAACCAGATGAAATAATCCTAGAATTGAGGTACAAAATCGTAATCTTTAAGTGAAAATCAACCTTCACATTAAAGTAAGAATAAAAGTGGAATAGTTGTGTAGTATACATTTAGGAAAGCCTAGGATGAAAAGAGAACGATGTACTCAAGAACAGAAAAAAAGAACCACTACAGAAAATTTGTTGATGGTTAGAAAATAATAACAAACAACACTAGGTACAGAGATTACATGATCACTTATTAGACCACTAGTCTCACATTTTTACTTCTACTGTAGTGGTAGTACCTTTCTATTTCAGACTAATGCGAGTAATTGTTGTAAAATTCAAGTCTGAATTTCTTCAGTGACTTCTCATCACTTAAGAATAAAATCAGACTGCTTAGGTTTTAATCGTGGGATCCCTTCTTATCTATCCAACTTGGTTTTTTTTTCACTCTCTCTACTACTCTGCTCTCCATCTCAAACTTTATCCTATAGTAGTACCAGTATTCACCAGATATATTGCACTTCTTCATGCTTCTTTTTAAAGTGTGATCCCCAGAGACCTCAGCATAACTTGGAAACTAGTTAGAAATACAGTTTCTTGGACTCTACTTCAAGGCCTACTAAATCAGAAACCCTGAGGGTAGGCTAAGCAAGCTAAGCCTTTTAGGTGATTCTGATGTACCTTAAATTTGAAAACTGCCACCTTAACCCTTTTCTTTTTTTAACCTCAGCCAATAACTACCATACTGTCAATATCACTTTTATTTGTGTAACTCTTAATCTACATCTCAAACTCTATATCAGTCCTATTTTTTAAGCTGTATATTGGACATCTGTCCTGGATATCCTTTCAGTACTTCAGACTATCTAGGCCCTGAGCAAAATTCATTATCCATCTCCTGAAACCTACTTTACATACTGTTTCCTATTTTCTCTCAGCCTGGCAGCTTTGATTCTTAGATTGTACAATATTTTCTCATTATTTTTTATGTTGTCTTGCTGCAGAGGAACAGGGGGAAAAAAGATTTTTAAAAAACTGTACTAACCAAAAAAGGGTCAGGATTTTTCATGCAGTAAAGTTACTATTGTTTGTAGAGCCATCTGTTAAAATGTATTTTTATCTTACTTCTTCCCTCCTTCCCTCTGCCTCTTTCCTTGCTGTATCCTTCTTTCTCTCTCAAGAACTTAGAGACTGTATTTTGAATCTTAACCTCAGTTGTGCAAGTTCTGTGGTAAAGGTGGACAGGTGAAAGCTTGTACCAGCATCAGATGTTGAAGCCAGGCAACATTTCAGATATCCCTGAACAGTTCTTACAGTAGGTTCTCAATAAATACTTTCTAAATGAGTAAGTTAGCAAGTAGATGAGTCTCAAAGGACTGGGTAGATTTCCAGGGTCAAAAGAGCATAGTGAGAGTGTGGCTGGAGATGTAAGAAACTTAAAGGATTTAAGCAATAAGGAGTGAGAAATTTTGATGGTAAATGTTTATTAAATGAATAAATGAAAAGCTTTAAAAAACAGATAGCCATTGTCACAAATGGTTAGGTATTTCCTTCTCTGAAGGAGGAGGGATAAATTATTATTTCAGTGTAAACTTTGAAGTTTGATTTTTAGAATTCATGTTTATATGGGTACATCCCATTTAGTTTGATATACATTTAAAATAATTTCTTATGTTGATTTATGTAACAGTATTCTAACGTTTGAACATATATCTTAGAATATAAATTTTAACTGTTATAGTTTGTTCTGTTTTTGTTGAACAGGATAAACAATGATACATACTTGAAAGTTATTGTATTATTAATTTGTTTTCATAATGTGAGATATTCTCTCACAAAGCACTTATGTTTTAAGTTATAATTTAAAATACCTTTCTTTTTAACATGCACACAGGAAACCTCGACCTGTCTCCCAGTTGGTTGCACAGCAGGTTACTCAGCAGTTTGTGCCTCCTACACAGTCAAAGAAAGAGAAAAAAGATAAAGTAGAAAAAGAAAAAAATGAAAAAGAAACAACTAGCAAAAAGAATAGCCATAAGAAAACCAGGTAAATTTGAAGAGTGTTTTATGACATTTTTGAAATAATAAAACCATTTAATTTTTTAACCATTGATATACTAATACACACAAAGTGGAAGTAAAATATTTGGTTTCCTTTATTTTAAGGTATCAGAAAAGGTTTTACTGAGTTTGAAAGATACATTGGAAATTAAACACAGAAGCCACAAATACAAGCTTAAATGTGGTGATGCTTTTTTCTTTGTACTAGATTGGAAGACATTGTGTCTGGGTGTTTTGTTTTGTTTTGTTTTTCCCTTAAGAAGAGCTGTTTGAACCAGGAGTGGTTTTCAAAATACTGAACAGATAATTGCATGGGTTTTAACCTATCAAAATGGTCATGTGTTCAGTCAGAACAATCATGATACCCTTATTAGTGTGTGTCAGTGGAGTAACAATCTTCCTTGCATGTAGCTCAACCTTAGTTTTTATCACCTTCCTCCATGGTGCAGCTATTTCATTGTTGTCTAAAACATCTATTTTAATAAAATTAATAAGCTGTCTGCAAAATTATGATACAGCTATAGAAGCACAAGTTCTACTTCTAGGCTGTCCCAGTTTTTGGTCGCATTGAAGAATATTCATGAGTGATTGGTTTGATTAATGTTAATGAGTTGAAACATTTTACGATGTTTTTGTGGCTGGTTACACATAAATTGCTTTAAATATGTGTATTCGTTTTGTTACTTTCACCTACTTTTAGTATTTATTATATGCTCAGAAATTTGGTAGAGGGAAAAGCTAGTTTAAAATTTCATTTTTTTTATGTTTAGACCAAGATTGAAAAATGTGGATCGGAGTAGTGCTCAGCATTTGGAAGTTACCGTTGGAGATCTGACAGTCATTATTACAGACTTTAAGGAGAAAACAAAGTCACCACCTGCATCTAGTGCTGCTTCTGCAGATCAACACAGTCAAAGCGGCTCTAGCTCTGATAACACAGAGAGAGGAATGTCCAGGTCATCTTCACCCAGAGGAGAAGCCTCATCATTGAATGGAGAATCTCATTAAAGTTTATTTTCTCCAGTTTCTTAGTCACTTCTGTCCTACCATGCAAATACACAGATTATGCCAAGAGGTACCACATTTTCATGACAAATACATTCATGCACAATTCATAATTTGAGTTTTACATAAAATAGAAATTTGTTAGAATTTGTTAGATTTTATTGCAACTATGCCTACCAAACATTTCCAGACTTAACATTTTGGTCTCTGCAGTTAAGTGCCATGAAAATGTGGTTGAATTATTCATTATGCAGTGTTACTGGTAAGTGTATTTTCACTTTTAGTTTAGTGAATTCTAACACATAATTCTTGAATTCTCTACTATTGGCATGTAACGAATTTAAATTTTTTATAACATAGTGCAAGCTGCCTAAATATGTATTATTTGAAAATTGTGAAACAGATAGTTATATGTATACAAGTCAAAGATCAACTTAACTATTGCTGCAACAGGTTTTTCTTAATGGTTATCCTCTTAAATACACCTGCTGGTACTTGGTGTGGTTAAATAGGAAAATTGTTATTAAATAAAGAATTTGTATGAACCTTTGCCAATGTTTTTGACACGTTTTACTAATTATTGTTCCTGAATTTGTTTCTGGCTTTATCCATTTGTTGAGGTTTTTTTGTTTGCTTATTTTTCAAAACATTCATTTATTGTAATGTTTACTAGCAGACTAGTAAACAATAAAGCATTGATTATTTAGCTTTATAATTCAGGTTTAGTGCTATTGTCATTGAACACTGGTATTTTCTGTATCATATAAAACATTAAAATTCAAATAATTATAAGCATTTGGCAAAAACGAGAAAAGAAACTTGCCATATTTTACAAGCTGCAATTTTAGAAAAGCTTTAACTTAATGATAGTTTTATCACTGTTTTCTTGTCCCAAACTTATCCAGGGCCATACATGCATGAATCTAATTAAAACAGAAATGGGAATTGTTGCACAGAAATGGGAAATAGCTAATTTTAAATCAGTCTAATTGGCCTCTTACTAAATATAACAATTCTTATGAAAATCATAGTACCCTATTTTCAGACACAACTACCAGTTTACACATTTCTCAGTATCCTGAAAGGAAAAAAGTATAGCCCCACTTATACTATGTAAAATTACCAATAAAATATTTTTATGACTACAGATTTTGCCTTTTTGTTTATGACTATTAAAGTGTTTTATTTAGTATTTAGAATTTCAACCTGGAAACCACACAGTACTTAAATTCTCCTGGGGTCTCCTGCTTTCTCTTAACCATTTGCTTAATATATATCTACCTATAGGAGACTTTTGAATTGTAAATGGACTTAAAAATAGAATGTGGATACAAAATATCACATAAGACATCATGATAACATTTGAAGAAAAAAATAAAACTGTAGACCCTAACAGTTGTGATATTTGGTGGTTTCGTGTGGTAATGTAATTTTCTGTTTAATTACAGTACTTTTTACAGGCACAGTGGTACTGTCTTTTTTGTAAGATGCTAGTTGTGAAATACAATTGCATACAGTAAAAGTCTGTGATTAAAACATTTATATACCTCATTCTTTAGTGTTGTTAAATGAAAAATTAAAATTTGTGTTTGTTATAAGATACGTTCAGTGGAATACCAACTAACCAGATATGTTCCTTTAAAACACGATATTTTTGTCTTATTCTGTTTTTAACATGTTTCAAATGTTTTATATATTCATTTTTGGACAGAGTAAAAATTTAAAAATGTTAATAGGGAAAATATTTAATTTTTAAGTCAAAAACTATACTTTAAAGGCATTACATCTATGATCAAATACTTTCAGAATGTATTTTAAATGAGCTGCAAGAGAGAAAAATCTGACAGGAGATGGGATTTTACCTGAATGGAGCATACTCATATTTCTACATAGGTGGATAGATACTCATCTTTCTACATAGGCAGGAACACAGTGTAGCATGGAGATTAAGCATGCTAACTGACACCTCATGTTTGAATCCTGTTGTAGAATGGAAATGAGCTTAAATTACCCAAGCTTACTTTCCATCTATAAAACAGGGTTAATGGTAATCACATCTAATTTATAGGGTTGTTGGGAGGATTAAGTCAATCCATGTAAAATTCTTAATTATCTGACACATACTGGTCACTCGGTAAATGTGAGCTTTTACTATTGTTATAGGTAAAATCCTATTACAAAAATACAAAAATATTTTTTGTAACAATTATTTTCATGCCCTCTTGGATGACATGAAGTAATAGTGTTTTATAGATTTCACTAAATTTTCAGTATAATACCAGATGTTTTCTCTGGACGCAGAAAGACCATCTTTCCATAATTAAAGAACCTGGTGGGTGTGCACTATGAGATTGAAGAAATGAATTAAGTCGACTAGTTTGAAAGTGTTTTATTAATCAACCTGCCTTTGTTTCACCCTACCTCAAATACTCTTCCACACCAGGAAAACAAACGCAAATTCCATATATAGAACTGATGTTAAAATATGCAGAAAGATTCAGAACCTAGGTTTAGGGTACATATTTTGCTCTGTTTCATGAACTTACAAGGTGGGTTGAGCACTGGGTTCCTTAAGCCAAATTCCATACAAAAAGAACTTGGGTGTTTTCCAGCATTTATTACTTTACTTTGCTATAAGTAAGAGTGAAGATCCCGGGTGCGATGGCTCATGCCAATAATCCCAGCACTTTGGGCTGAAGCGGGCAGATATTTTGAGCCCAGGGCCAGCCTGGGCAACATGGTGAAAGCTCATCTCTATAAAATATATATATATGTGTGTGTGTGTGTGTGTATTTGAAAAGTGAATATACTTTGAGGCAGAAGAATAATCTTAAAACCTTTTGTATTATACAATAGAAATAGTTAAAGGTTTTATTTTTATTAAATGCTTTCCTAAAATGATAGTGGATAATAGACAAAGCGAAACATTTAAAAAGGAAGAGAAACTTCAGCCTTTCTACGTTGGTAGCATGTTTATTAACTTTTAAAGATCCTTATAGCCTAAAAGAATGTAGCCTCCGCATATTACATGCATTAATGGTAGCTGGTCTAGAAGTTTTTGTTTCCACTGAGGCTTTCCCCACGTGCTTTTTTAAACTTCCTACTATGGTTTGGATATGGTTTGTCCTCACCAAGATTCATGCTGAGGCCTGAGTCCCCAGTTTGATTGTGTTGGTAGGTGGTGCCTTTAAGAGATGATTAGGTCATTGCGATGGATTAAGGGCTTTCTCATGAGGCTCAGTTAGTTCTGGAATGGATTCACTCTTGCAGGAATGGATGAATTCTCACAAGAGTGGGTTGTTACAAAGTGAGGATGCTTCTTGTGTTCTGTTCTCTTTGCCCTCCTCAGTTCACCATCTGCTTTCCACCATGAGTTGAAGCAGCATGAGGCCCTCATCAGATGGCCTGCCTGATCTTCGACTCCTTAGCCTTTGCAAGCATGAGCCAAAATAAATCTCTTTTCTTTACAAATTGCCCAGTCTCAGGTATTCTGTTATAGCAAAAAAAAAAAAAAAAAGTGGATTGAGATACTTTTTTGCTCTGCAACTTACCTCTTTTCCAGAATCTTTTAAGGACTCGATGTAGGAACTGAGCTATTTAGTAAGTCATTAGCAGAAGTTTCCGCACAGTATTTTGAAAATTAAGTGAAAACAGAAAAGTGAGTGCGTATATAAGGAAAATAATAGTAAAAAAGCACTTTGACTTCTTAGTACTCACCCTCTCCTGTATATCTCCAGGCACCTTCAGTTGTCTGGAACAAAGAATGTAGGAAAAACTGAAGAAGTTCAGAACAGTTACCAATGACAAAAATCACTGATTAGAATAAAAAGACAAGGTTACGGAATATGTGTTGTTACTGATCATCTTTCAAAAGCAGAAGGAAAAGAATGCCCTCCCTGGCTACTGACGGTGATGAAAAGTAAGCCCCACTCCTATCACAGGCAATGAAGGACAGGGATGGAAAAAAAAAGTGAAGAAGAAGGGGAAAAAGCAAAGTTGTGAAAAAAATTAGAAAAGGGGACACTGGGATTCAGTCTGGATAATGGTAGAATCACTAGGAAGGGAAAGAACAAATAGAACTTAACAGCACATCAGTCTCTGGTGACATTTTAAAAACATGATAAAGCATCTTCATGATGTCTCTGTCATTAGCTAAAGTTTAGCTTGTGTTTAGTAGACTATTTACTAAGACAGCAGTATGTGTAATACAGAATGATGTTCATCAAAACCAGTTCGCTTTAGGAAACTGTCACAGAGAAGTTTTACCTTGAATTACAAGATAATTCCAGACCCACTAAACCTGTGTGTATTATTTCCACTTCTCAGGAATTCCAGTTGGGGAAGTATCTATTTCACTGGGTCTTTGCCCCAAAAAGTTCCCCCAGGGGTTTATTCTTACAACTTTAAGTTTTTTGTTTTTTGTTTTTTAAATATTATTTGGTGTGATTTACACTAGATATATGTGGCCATTTATAAGAACAAAAGAAAATTATTAATTACTTTCCTGAATGCACATCCCTACCAGCCCAGATAATTTAAATGTTAAGTATGTAATGTGCAGTTGACCCTTGAACAACATAGGTTTTAACTGCGTGGGTGCACTTACACATGGATTTTCTTCCAACTCTGCCACGTTGAAGACAGCAAAATCAACCATTCCTCTTTTTCCTCAGCCTACTCAATACGAAGACTATGAAGACGAAGACCTTTATGATGATCAACTTCCACTTAATGAATAGTAAATATATTTTTCCTTCCTAATGATTTAACAATTTCTCTAGCTTACTTTATTGAAGAATACAGTATATAATACATATACAAAATATGTGTTAATCAACTGTTTATGTTATCAGTAAGGCTTCTGGTCAACAGTAGGCTTTTAGTAGTTACGTTTTGGGGAGTCAAAAGTTGTATGCGAGTTTCTGACTGCTTGAGGGTTGGTGTCTCTAACCGCCACATGTTTAAAGGTCAACTGAATTAGGCTTTGTGCTTAGCCAGTGCAGATATTCCTGTCTTTATGGAATGGTCTAATTCTGGAGCACATGAAATGCCATAAGACTAAATACTTCAATGGAAAAAATCAAGTAGCTATCTGGAAGGCTTCAGTGCTCTGGGACATGTTTCACATTCTTAGTCTCCCCTGTTGGTGGGAATTACGGACTGTAATAGCTCTCTCACTGTTGTAATACAGCATTTTGTTGACTTTGGTTTTATTTACATCAGTGTTATTTAATTCAGTGAACACTTATTGAGTATTTGGTGAACACTTATTGAATACATAATAAGATGTGGAATGCACATCTTAGAGACTGTAAATTACAGTGCTGTAACTATAATAATAAAAACATGTATGAGATACGAGAGAGTGCTTGTTACCCATTTGTTTCTAGAAAATTCACCTAGGCTTAAGTATCTACTACAAGTCCACATTGAAAATGTTAGGGCCTCATCTTGATGTTTGAAGCTGATAACGTTGGGTGTCACCAGTAGTTTTAGTCAACTCTTGTTTTATTTACTCTAGCTTGAATTTTCAAAAGTTTAAGACTTTAAGCCATGTAAAGTGAGATAATTTATCATTTTCCTGCACTAATTTTTTAAAATCACACAACAACTGAATGAGGTCTGCTATGTCATTTTTGTAGATGAAGAAGCATATTACATCAGTCTGTCCAAAAGAAATTTTATTCAGATTTATTTCAGAAAGAGCTTTGCTTCACCTGAGAAATTGCCTTTTCCTTATGGACAAAGCAGATTATGAATTGCCCGAAATTTTTGCTGTAGTTGTGAGAAATCTCCTATTAAAATTGGGTTCAGGCTGGGTGCGGTGGCTCACACCTATAATCCCAGCACTCTGGGAGGCCGAGGTGGGCAGATCACCTGAATGAGGTCAGGCTGGTTCAAGACCAGCCTGGCCAATATGGTGAAACCCCGTCTCTACTAAAAATACAAAAAATTAGCTGGCCATAGTGGCAGGCGCCTGTAATCCCAGCTACTTGGGAGACTGAGGCAGGAGAATTGCTTGAAACCAGGAGCTGGAGGTGGCAGTGAGCAGAGATCCTACCCCTGCACTCCAGCCTGGGTGACAGAGCGAGACTCCGTCTAAAAAAAAAAAAAAAAAAAAATTGAGTTCAGTTTTAATAATTATGTGGGCTTGGTTGTCTGCTTATCTGTATTCTAATGTTTTAGTATTTTTCTGTCAAAGGAAAAAGATTTAATATAAAGATTCAAGCTTCACATCATGACAAATAATAAATTGTGAAATATAATTTTTTCTTCTTCTTCTTGTATTTTTTATAAATATTGGGTTTCCCAACATTTCCCTGGCTGGTCTTGAAATCCTGGGCTCAAGCCATCCTCTTGCATTGGCCTCCTAAAGTTTTTGGGATTATAGGTGTGAGCCACGGAGCCTGGTGGTTACTCTTTTTCTATTTTAATCTAATTTCTTATTCTTGATCTTTTTTGTATTTTTCCAGAGTTTGATGTTTATCTACTTGTTTTTCTTTTGTTCTTATAAATGGCCACAAATCCTAGTGTAAATCAGGCCAAATAGTATTTTTTTTAAAAAATTCTTTATTTCAAGTTGTAAGAATAAACTCAGAGGGAACTTTTTGGGGCAAGGACCCAGTGAGATACATACCTCCCCAGCTGGAATTCCTGAGGAGTGGAAATACTACATACAGTTTTAGTAGGTCTTGAGATTACATCTAGATTTAAATTGGCTGACCTACCTGGAAGAAGGGAGTTTGGATGAAAGCTACCACCTCATCATAATTTTTCTAATCTTTTAGCAAGAAAATTCAGAAACAAAACTCGAAACCAAGATTTATTAACTTAGATTTTATGGATATTATTTTCATTATCCTCTTTTAATTCATAATAATGCCAACAAGAAAATGGTCCTGTGTTTACTTTTGGAGTCAGCAAGAATGGGAAGAGTTGGAAGATTATAAAACTAGTTTGGGAGAAGACTTCTAAAGGACAAACAAAATGACAGTGTACACATTTTGTTTTTTAATTTTTAATTTTTGTGGGTACATAGGAGGTGTATATATTTACAGGGTACATGAGATGTTTTGATATGTAATGCATAATAATCACATCATGGAGATTGGAGTATCCATCTCCTCAAGCATTTATCCTTTGTGTTACTGACAATCCAATTATACTCCTTTAGTTATTTTTAAATGTACAATTATGTTATCAAATAGAAGGTCTTATTCTATTTTTTTTTTGTACTCATTAACTTCCTCCCCACCCCCGCCACCTACCCTTCCCAGCCTCTAGTAACCATCCTTCTACTGTGTCTCCATGAGTTTAACCGTTTTAATTGTTAGATCCCACAAATAAGTGAGAACATGGGATTTTTGTCTTTCTGACCCTGGCTTATTTCACTTAACATAACGATCTCCAGTTCCATCCATGTTGTTGCAAATGACTGGATCTCATTTTTTTTATGGCTAAATAGTACTCCATTGTTTGTATGTACCACATTTCCTTTATCCAATCATCTATTGATGGACATTTACATTGCTTCCAAATCTTAGCTATTGTAAACAGTGCTGTAATAAACACGGGAGTACAGATATCTCTTCAATATACTGATTTCCTTTCTTTTGGGTATATACCCAGCAGTGGGATTGCTGGATCCTATGGTAGCTCGATTTTTAGTTTTTTGAGGAACCTCCAAACTGTTCTCCATAGTGGTTGTACTAATTTACATTCCCATCAACAATGTACAACGGTTCCCTCTTCTCCACATCCTTGCCAGCATTTGTTACTGCCTGTTTTTTGGATATAAGCCATTTTAATTGGGGTGAGATGATACCTCATTGTAGTTTTGATTTGCATTTCTCTGATGATCAATGATGTTGAGCACCTTTTCATATGCCCATTTGCCATTTGTACATCTTCTTTTGAGAAATGTGTATTCAAACATTTGGCCTATATTTTGATTGAATTATTAGATTTTTTTTTCTTACAGAGTGTTGCTTGAGCTCCTTATGTATTCTGGTTATGAATCCCTGGTCAGAGGTGTGGGTTGCAAATATTTTCTCCAATTCTGTGGGTTTCCTCATGTTGTTGAGTGTTTCCTTTGCTGTGCAGAAGCTTTTCAACTTGATATGATTCCATTTGTCCATTTTTGCTTTGGTTGCCTGTGCTTATGGGGTGTTACTCAAGAAATTTTTCCCCAGACTAAGGTCCTGGAGATTTCCCCCCATGTTTTCTTTTACTAATTTCATAATGTGAGTCTTAAAGTTAAGTCTTTAATCCAGTTTGATTTGATTTCTGTATACGGTGAGAGATAGGGGTCTAGTTTCATTCTTCTGCATATGGATATCCAGTTTTCCCAGCACGATTTATTGAAGAGATTGTCTTTTTCAGTGTATATTCTTGGCACTTTTGTCAAATATGAATTCATTGTAGGTGTGTGGACTTTTTTCTGGGTTCTCTATTATTTTCTATTAAT